AAGTGAGTGCCGCGCGTCACTTCCTCCCACCGGTGATCACAACCGCGCGGAAGGAGAAAGGCAGGGAGGAGGGGAGTTCCAGAGGAGAACTCCCATCTGCCTCAGCCTGCCACTGGACCAGGGAAACCACCCTCCAGAAAAAGGTAGGAAACTGGAGGGTGGCTAAATGTATGTCTGTGTGTGTCTATGTCTGTCTGTGAGTGTCAGTGTGTCTCTGTGTGTCTATGTCTGTCTGTATGTGTGTGTATGTCAGTATGTCTGTGTGTCACTAAGTCTGTGTGTGTGTGTCTGTCTGTCTGTGTGTGTGTGTATGTCAGTATGTCTGTGTGTCACTAAGTCTGTGTGTGTGTCACTAAGTCTGTGTGTGTGTGTATGTCAGTATGTATGTGTAGGTATGTGTATGTCTGTGTGTGTGTATGTCAGTATGTATGTGTATGTCTGTGTGTGTGTGTGTCAGTATGTCTGTGTGTATGTCTGTGTGTGTCTGTATATGTCAGTATGCCTGTGTGTGTTTGTCAGTATGTATGTGTGTGTGTCAGTATGTCTGCGTGTGTGTGTCAGTATGTCTGCCTGTGTGTCAGTATGTCTGCCTGTGTGTCAGAATGCCTGTTTGTGTGTCTGTGTCAGAATGCCTGTTTGTGTGTGTCAATAGGTCTGTCAGTGTATGCGTCTGTGTGTGTCAGTATATTTGTCAGTTTATGTGTATTCATGAATGTGTGTCTGTGTGTGTGTCAGTATGTCTGAGTGTGTGTCAATATGTCTGCCAGTATATATTTGTGTGTCAGTGTATGTGTATGTCAGTATGTATCTGAGAATGTTTTAATATGTCTGTCTGTGTGCGTATGTGTTAGTATGTCTGTCAGTGTGATTGCGGGTTGGGTGTAATTAAGGGGTTGGCGGGGAAGGAGCAGGGCCCAGGGGGCCCAAGAAAATGCATTGCCCAGGGTCCTAATCATATTATAGACGGCCCTGTGTGCAGCTGTTAAACGTTACGATGTACTTTAAAGGAACACTATAGTTTCAGGAATTCAATCATGTATTCCTGACTAGTGATGTCACCGTGGCGGCGAACTCCGGTCAGCTGACACATCCCGGCCAATCTCCAGCAGACCCTCCCTCCCAGACCCTCCACCTCCTGGACAGCATCCATGTTGAAGCTTCCTTCAACATAGATGCTGTCCAGGAGGTTGGAGGGTCTGGGAGGGAGGTTCTGCTGGAGATTGGCCAGGATGTGTCAGCTGACCGGAGTTCGCCGCGAACGGTTCGTGGCGAACCGTAGCGAACCATTCGCGAAAAGTTCGCAAACGGTTCGCGACATCACTATTCCTGACACTATAGGTTTAAAATAGCCATTTAAGTTCCCAGCTCCCCTTATCCCCCCATTAAGAAGGTGATTTTTCCAGTGCCTCCCGGGTCTCGTTGTGGCTGGCCCGCCCTTGGCTGAGATCATCAAATTAGAGAAGCATTGGAAGGCTATTTCACATGCGCGGCAAAACGCACATGCTACGCCAATTAGCATCTCCTCGGAGAGATGCATAGAATCAGTGCTTCTCTATGAGGAGCGTTCAGCATCTCTATGCAGAGCACATTATGGATCACTGACCCAGTGACTGTCTCTAGATATGTTCCTAGGCAGGAATGTAAACATTGCCTTTTCTCAGAAAGGGCAGTGTTTACAATAAAAAGCCTGCAGGGACAGGCAGCAGACATCAGAACAACTACATTAAGCAGCCCATCAATTTGCCCATCCTTGCAGGTTTGTCTTTGTGAGCAGTGTTTGTGTGTTTGAATCTATTGCATTTTATTGCAGGGGTGTGTTTGGATGTAATGTTGGCTTTTAAAAGTGAATGTACATTTTTGTGTAGTATTGGTGTTTGTGTGAAGGGGTGTGTTTGTATATAATTTTGGAGTTTGAATGCATGGGTGTATTTGCATGTAAAATTTGTGGTAGATTGCAGAAGTTTGTTTGCATGTTGTGTTTGTGTCTGATTGCTTGGATTTATACCATTAGTGTTCAGGAGGGTGGCTTGGGGACCTGCTGCTGGCTGGGGTTGATGAGAGTGCAGAGTCTGTAGCAGCTCTCTGGTCCTCTCTCCCATGCGGCACTCTCAGTAAGAAGCTGGGAGGAAGTGACGATATTACAGGGGCCAGATCAGGCACTTAAAAGGTCTTGGCACCAGACCAGGCTCCTGTTAGCAATGAAGAAATACTACCCATTGGGTGGCCCTAAGTGCATGGACAACCCGATGGGACCCCAAAGCGTGCGTGCTAGTTCCACAACTGGAGACATAGGGGAGAGGGGCTGCAGTGGAGGCGGGGGGATAGGGGCTGTAGTGGAGGTGGGTGAGATAGGGGGTAAAGTGAGGAAATAGGGGATAAAGTGGGAGCAGTGGGGCAAAGGTTGTAGTGGATATAGGGGGCATAGAGACTGTAGTGGGGGCATTGGATAATAGGTGTTGTAGTGAGTGCAGAGGAGGCTGCAGAGGGTGCAAGGAGTAATAGGTGCTGCAGTGAATGCAGAGGACTGTAGAAGGAGCAGAGAGGTAATACAGATTCTAGTGGGTGCATGGGGGTAGGGGCTATAGTGGGTGCAGGTGGTATAGGGGCTCTAAAACGGTACCTAGGGGTAGGTACCCTTTTAGAGCCCCTATACCCCTGCACCCACTATAGCCCCTACCTGCCTTTGGTGCAGGAGGTATAGGGGCTCTAGAGGGTGCCTGGGTGTAGGTACTGTAGTGGGTGCATGTGTTAGGCGCTGTAGTGGGTACAGGGGTTATAGGTTGTGAAGAAATCCCCCTATTCCTATGTTATTTACAGTGTGCATTCCCTTTTTATTCTCTATGTACTGCCTATGGCATTCAGTAGATGAAACTACCGAACCGGGACCACCCTCTGGCTCATTAAACATCAAAGATTTAGGTGAAATTGCTACCTCTGTCTGTGCGGCCAGCGTTCGTTAGTCGAACTCCACGTGGCAGAGAAAACCGCGGCCATCACAAAGGCAGCGGGACCTGCTCGTCGAGTGCATGGAACTGTTTTACAGACACTCGACTTCCCGAACACCGGTCCCATACAGACGAACGCTGGAACTCTATTTACCGAATAGCTAGAAGAGCGCTATTCGGTACTTTGATGCATTTGACAGAGGGGCACGAACGCTAGGAGCCAGAGGGATCCATTCGGTACTTTTCTTAGTTTTCATGTTTTTCGAAAGTGACCGGCAAAACCCACCAAATTCGTGGAACTGTTTTGGGCATGCAGCCCAGGGTGAGCCGGTCACACAAGACTTCCATAGAATTTGCGAACCCCTGAACCGATCTGGGTGAAATTTGAATATGTTGGCCACCCAGATCAAGGCTATCAGGGGACACATAATTTATGGGGATACCCCCAGTATAAAGTGGTGTTCTGAAAGATGGGGGAAAAAGTGATTTTTCAGCCCGGAGATAATTAAGTTACTATTTTAATTATGTGTGCACTATGAATGCTTTCCTATGAGACTGGCTGAATGCGCACGCAGCTCCTGCGGAGAGGAGGAGGAGAGCTCCCCGCCCGGCGCTGGAAAAAAGGTAAGTTTAACCCCTTTCCTTGCCATCCAGCCCGGGGCATAGTGCCAGGAAAACAAGTATGTTTTCCTGGCACTATAGTGGTCCTTTAAGCAAGAGTATGTAAAGGATAGTTAGGGTTCGTGTCCCCATGTTGCCCAGTGTCACTTGGACACTAGGGGACACTTAAGAGACATGGGAAAACTGAGACACTTGGGGACATTGGGAGACATGGGGATACAGAAGCTAGGGACACAGTGTATCAGTGTCCCCATGTCTCCCAGTGTCCCCAAGTGCCTAGTGTCTCACAGCATCCCCTAATGTCTCAGTGTCCACCATGTCTCCAGTTTCCCCTGATCTTCCAGTGTCCCCAGGTCTCTGTGTCCCCAAGTGTCTCATTGTTACCAGTTCACCCAGTGTCCCCTAGTGTCTCCCAGTGTCCCCATGTCTCCCTGCAGCCTTTACCCCATCCCTCACTTCCCAGAGCTGTAGGCTGTTTCTGCAGGCTGGGAACTGTTGTCTGGACTCTCTGTGCTGTGTAGCTGCTCCCCCACGGATCAGTGAGTAGCGAGAGGCAGGGATATGCTGTAACTTTCTATCCCTGCCTCCCTCCACACACAATGACCCCTACTGGCTAGCGCAGGTATTGCAGAGTAATCTCTGTTTATACATATAAATATGTCGGCATTTGTTTTGCCGGTTTTATTGCAATACTGGCACTGGCCAGGCAGCCTCAAATCCTTATTATCTTTTTATCATAATTTTAAGTGTGTACTTTTAGTGATACATACTACATAATAGGCGCGCCCTTCCTTTCTTGTTTTTTTATCTTCTAATCTATTATAGGGGATAGAAGGGTTTTTCCCCTTTTAGGTGTGCTGCCTTTATACTATTACAGATTTTATTAGAGGTATTACTAGCGCTGATCCTACTTTGATTTTTCTTCAAATACCATAAAATACCAGCCAGGTGGCTACCCAAAGAGTAATGTGTAAAAAAAAAAAGTAACACATTTTTTTTTTTCTTATCAATGGGCCTTTTCCATGGGCCTGGGCCTGGGCCTGGATCTGCAGCTCCATCAGCCCCTATGTTAATCCGGCCCTGGGTATTCAGGCAGACTTTATACAACAAGGATATCCATTATCAGCACTCTTTTGTAAATTGCATTATTAGCACTCTTTTGTAAAATACATCGTCACTGGTGGTGACGAATGGCATGTTCTTTCTGACAAATAGGTGATATTTAGGAGGTTTCTGTGGTGAGCATTTAGGAAAGTTTATACATGCAGTGATGCATTTTACTACAGAGTGCTGATAATGCAATGATGCATTTTACAAGAGTGCTAATAATGCAATTTACTAAAGAGTGCTGATAATGCAATGATGCATTTTACTCAAGAGTGCTGATAATGCAATCATGTATAGACATAGAAACATAGAAACATAGAATGTGACGGCAGATAAGAACCATTCGGCCCATCTAGTCTGCCCAATTTTCTGAAAGTATTTAGAAAATTGGGCAGACTAGATGGGCCGAATGGTTCTTATCTGCCGTCACATTCTATGTTTCTATGTTTCTATGTCTATACATGATTGCATTATCAGCACTCTTGAGTAAAATGCATCATTGCATTATCAGCACTCTTTAGTAAATTGCATTATTAGCACTCTTGTAAAATGCATCATTGCATTATCAGCACTCTGTAGTAAAATGCATCACTGCATGTATAAACTTTCCTAAATGCTCACCACAGAAACCTCCTAAATATCACCTATTTGTTAGAAAGAACATGCCATTCGTCACCACCAGTGGGGGAAGGTCTTAAACAAACCTACGGCATACCCAGGTAGTCACTTTATGGAAGTGTTGTTTATCGGGTCGTCAGGGATAAGAGGCTGAACCCTGGTTTGACCTCATGTATGCAGTGGTGCCCTGTCATCCTGTGAGAGAGAGAGTTGGGTCAGAGCCCCGTTCACTAAAGGGGTTACCAAGGCTGGCGGCTCAGAGAGATGGGTCTTCAGGGATAAGAGGCTGAACCCTAGCTGGGCCTCAGATATACCGTAGACTGCATTCATCCCCAGAGGGAGAGAGTTAGGTCAGACCCCCAGTCACTAAAGGGGTTACCCAGGCTAGCGACTCATAGAGATATGCTGTTGCTGGGTCTTCAGGGATAAGATGCTGAACCCTGGCATGGCTTCATGTATGGACTGCTTTTGTCCCCTGAAGGAGGGAATTAGGTCAGACCCTAGGTAACTAAAGGGGTTACCCAGGGTAGCAACTCATGGACATATGCTGTTGCTGGGTCTTCAGTGATAAGAGGCTGAACCCTGGCATGTATAGATTGGACCGCTTTCATCCCCTGAAGGAAAGAGTGGGTCTGACCCATGTTCAGTAAAGGAGGTACCCAGGCTGGCGACTCATAGACATGTGCTGTTGCTGGGTCTTCAGGGCTTAGAGGCTGAACCCTGGCAGGGACACAACAATACTGGCCTGATGAACATAGAAGAAAAATCTAGGCCTGCTTAAACAGACTCCTTCCAAACTGCTGTGAAGGACAGGAAAAAAAGACTGCCTATTTCCTGTCCTTTCTGCTGTGAGGGGAGGAGCTAACTCATGAGTAAATGCTGCCATGATTGATCATAAAAAAATATATAGTGCAAAACTGTGGTTTAACCCCTTCAGGACAGAGTCAATAGTGCACGTTCTGATCAAAACAAAAACTGGAATTTGCGCTATATGTCTGTTCAACCGTAATTCACCGCTGTCACATTAAGTGCACCCAAACTTATTATATATCATTTTGTTCAGGAGAAACAGGGCTTTAATTTATCATTAACTATTCATATATGGAACATAATTTATTATGAATAAAATTTTAAAAAAATGTGAGAAAATAAGATTTTTTTTTAATTTGTATTTCCGTCTGACATTTTAGCTGTTAATGTCATAATACTGTTAGGTTTTACTGCAAATAAATGACATATTTGTAATCAGCAATGTCTCACGAGTACAACAGTACAACAGAAATTTGCCAGATTAGTAATGTTACCTTTGAGACGGTGTGGTAGCCCAGGAATGAGAATTATCCCCATAATGGCATACCATTTGAAAAAGTAGACAACCCAAGGTATTGAAAAAGGGGTATGTTTGGTCTTTTTTAGTAGCCACTTAATCACAAACACTGGCCAAAGTTAGCGTTCATATTTGTTTTTGTGTGAAAAAAGCAAAAATTTATATTTGGCCAGTATTTGTGACTAAGTGGCTACTAAGAAAGACTGGACATACCCCACTTGCAATACCTTGGGTTGTCTACCTTTGCAAATGGTATGCCATCATGGGGGTAATTCTCATCCCTGGGCTACCATACGCTCTCAAAGGCAACATAACCAATCTGGCAAATTTCAATGTCAAAAAAATGAAATGCAAGCCTTATATGTGACTCTCTAACTTTCCAAAACACCATAAAACCTGTACATGTGGGGTACTGTTATTCTCGGGAGACTTCAGTAAACACAAATATTAGTGTTTTAAAACAGGTAAACATATTACAACAATAATCTAGTCTATAAAAGTGCAGTTTGTTTGTAAAAAATGCAAAAAACATCACTTTTACTTAAAATATCATCATTGTAATACAATTTATCATTTTGAAACACTAATATTTGAGTTCAGCGAAGTCTCCTGAGTAAAACAGTACCCCCTATGTACAGGTTTTATGGTGTCTTGGAGAGTCACAGGGTCAAATATAGTGCTTGCGAATTAAATTCTCTGCACTTTCTCCCTGTGTTGTCAGGCATGTCAATCAAATTTGAATTAATCAAATCAAATAATTATGTAAAAGATTACTTAAATATACATGTAGAATTTTAATATATATGCATTTATAGGTATTTAAATTCTATGTGTATACTAATGTAATCTTTTATGTAATTATATGTATTTATCTATATATATATATATATATATATATATATTTGCGGTTATTTGTATTTTATATATAGATAGATATATATATATATAATGTCATTCTAAATGTGTTTTGTTACCAATATATATATTTTAATAACAAAATACAGTTAGAATGAAATTACATATGAATATATAATTTATATTAAATTTGTTTCAATATTTTGTTTTATTATTTTATTTATTATTGTAATTATACGTGTGTGTGTGTGTGTATATATATATATATAATATATATACATATTATATATATGTAACGTCATTCTAAGTGTATTTAAATACTAATATTTGTACTTATATTAATATTAAAATACACTTTGTATGAAGTTAGATATATTTAATATGTATATATATATATATTATATATAATAGATATACACACACACACATATATATATATATATATATATATATATATACTTTTAATTAATTTTAAACATGTCTAATAATATTTTTTTTACACCTTCTACCAGCAGGGGGACTGTCCGACATTTCAGACAGTCCCCCTGCTGGCAGATCCACAGCCAGCTATAGGGGGCCATGTGATCGCTCTTTGATAGCGATCACATGGCCCCCAGGGGCCTCATTTGCCAGGGGAGGGCTGTCTGGGCTGTCAGGCAGCCCTCCAGAAGAGGATCCCGGCGGAGGTAAGTCCACCAGACCTCCAGGGCCTGCAAGTCATTACTGCGTTCTATGCGGCCGCAACGGCTTTAAAGCCCTTTTAATGCGGGACAGCATAGAACGCCATAACGGCGTTAAGGGGTTAGAATGTGATGAGATGTGGTCAGAATGGACTTATTATTATTATTATTATTATTATTATTCAAAATCATAATATGCTTTTCCCTACTATTGGGACATGGCACTATATTTGTGACTGCATATTTACAGAAGCATGAGGACAATATATATTTAGTGTCAAAATTACTCTAATTGTTTGAAATGGTTTGGGAGAGGAACACTGCTTTCAAAGTTTTAACAATCCAAACATAGCAGGAGCTCTAGACGCCTAGCTAGCTATATCTTTGCTGCTGCACTTATACAGCTGCGATCTCACCAGCGAACCTGCTTCTATATCTAGGCATCCTCTCTTTTTTTCTTAGTCCACATGGGACACATGGGGTCACTGAGATACTAGGGACACTGGCTGGGAGACATGGGGACACTGGGAGTGCACCATGTCTCCTAGGTCTCAAAGTCGCACAATGTCCCACAAAACATACACTCTCACTGACAAACACACACATAAACTAACTCAGTAACAGACACACACAAACTAACACACACAGTAACATACACACTCACTGACACACAAACTAACACACACACAGACTAAAACTCACTAGCAGACACACAAACACACTCAGTGACACACACACACAGTAACACTCACTAACACACTTACTGACACTCACTAGAAGACACACAAACTAACACACACAGTAACACACTCACTGACACACACAAACTAACACACTCATTAACAGACACACACACAGTAACACACATATACATACACACTCACATTTTTTTAAATTTAATCCCCCAGCCTCCCTACCTTTGGGAGTGCTGAGGGGATTCCCTGGGGTCCAGTGGGGTTGCTGGGCGGTCCTGCAGGTGGCGAGGGAACACTTGAGATCCTCCTGCTCGGCTCCCTCGTGCACTGCTTACTGATGCCGGAGCCGGAGTGACCTCATATTCCGGCTCCGGCATCAGTGCTGGGCAGAGAGCACTCAGGGGAGAATGCTCCCTTGCGCGCCTGCCCTCAGAGTGATGCCACTGCCAGCCTCGGGGGCCCTGAGGTGGCTAGGAGACATGGGGACACTGGCTCAGGAGAAGAGGCTGGCAAAATGTGGCCACACTGGCGTGCATACCGCGGTATGTACGCCAGTGGACATAGACACTAGGGACACTGAGAGACACCAGGGACACTGAGAGACATGGGGACACTGGCTAGGAGACATGGGGACACTGAGAGACTATGGGCCACTGTGTCCCTAGTGTCTCAGGGTCCCCATGTTCCCTTAGTGTCTGTGTCCCCATGTCTCCTAGTGTCCTAATGTCTTAGTGTCCCCAAGTCTCTCACTGTCCCCATGTCTTAATGTTTCCCCTAGTATCACAGTTTCCTCAGGTCTCCAAGTGCCTCCTAGTGTCTCAGTGTAACAAAGTGTCCCTATGTCTCTCACAGTTTTCCCTAGTGTCTGTGTCCTCAGGTCTCCCAGGGCCCCCTAGTGTCTCAGTGTTCCCAAGTGTCCCTATGTCTCCCAGTGCCCCCTGGTGTCTTAGTGCCCCCTAGTGTCTCAGTGTTCCCATGTCTCACAGTGTCCCCATGTGTCTCAGTGTCCCCTAGTGTCTTCAAGTGTCCCCTAGTGCCTGTGTCCCCATGTCTCCCTGCAGACTCTCCCCCCATCCCACACTTACCTGAGTTGTTGACTGTCTCTGCAGGCTCAGAGCTGCTGTCTGGACTCTCTGTGCAGAGCTGCTTCCCGCAGATCAGTGAGTAGAGCAGGGAGGGAGATGCTGTAACTTTTTATCCCTACATCTCTCCACACACACAGCGACCCCTACTGGCTGATGCTGATATTGC